TTGTCAGTGAATTTCCTTTCCTGATTTACGCAAACTTTTGTTAAATTTATTCCACTATATTTTTCCAATATTTTTATTATCATCAATTTGGGGTTCCACCAAGTTTTGATTTATTTCATAAAAATTCTTTCAAATTTTCCATTATCTGTACTTAATTTGTTTATAAGTATATTTTTCCAAAATCTATCTAGACTTTTCTTTAAAAGTATGTAAAAGTTCGGTTTATTGATAGGAGTTAAGGATTTATGTTTCTATTACTCACATACTTTTACTTAAAAAAGATAGGCAATTTATTTTTATGCTTTCTCTCAATTTCAGAGATATTTTATATATCATTTTGAGTTATAGAATTAAAATAAAAAAATTTATAATTTATGTACAGGGTGCGGCAAATAAAGCGCGCGTTTGTTTTTTGCCATAACTTTCTTCAATTTTAACGAAAATTGATAGTTCTTTTTTTATATCATTCCCGACACTCTAAGTAATTTTTTGGTACAAAATATTATAAATTTGGCTATATTATAATATTCCCGACACTAAAAGTTCACCTAAAAAAGACAAATTTAACATCAAGTTCCAAATTTATCATTCAAAGGCTCATATCTCAGCTCAAGAACAAGATAATCGTCTAGTTTTTATATCATTCGAATTAAATAAAACAGCTTATTCGAATGATATAAACTAGAGACCGGACTTGAGTGATCGTTCGATAATATCGGTATCGATATCGAAAAATATCGATTATCGATAAATATCGAAAAAATCAAAAAAAATTTCGTCGATAATATCGGTATCGTTTATTGATAATATTTTCCATCGATATATCGTATCGATCCGGTCTCTAATATAAACTTTGCACATATCAGACACACGGCATTTAAATCAGACGACTTTTGGTCCAAAAATTTTTACCAAAACTTTAAGAAAAAATAATCAAATTAATTTAACAATTTTTTTTGAATATTTCGCTACCAAGAAATTTCTTAGAGTGTCGGGAATGATATAAAGAAAGAATTATCAATTTTTATTAAAATGAAGAAAGATATGGCAAAAAAAACAAACGCGCCTTAATTTGCCGCACCCTGTAAAATTTAAAGCTGTAATGCTTGGTTTATCAATAAAAGTCCTCCTGTTGATGAAATAGATACGTAAGTAATATTTTTTGATTTTCAAAATTCAGTATACGTTAATGATAACTTGTGAAGTCAATATCTTTTAAATACAAGCAAATAATCTAACCCAATAAGTTAAGTTTCAGAAACCTAATGTTAGAAAATCTGAAATGAATCTTTTAAAATTTGAATAAAATTTTGAAATAATCTCGATCCAAAATTTTAAGATGTTGTTATAATTGGAAAAAGTCGCTTCTTGATTTATATATCGGGCCTAAACCTTTGTGCGAGGATCCTGAGATACGTATGTCCTATTTACATAAAATCTAAATACAAATTTAATGTAGGCGGAGATAGTATTTTTCTAAAATGACCAAAACAATTTCTATTGAGCAGTGTCACAAATTACTCTCGATTTTTAGGAGTATTTTTTTGAAAATCCTTAGCTATCTCCTGAAATTAGCTTCCTTAATTATATCTAAATACATGGATAAAAAGTTTATATACACAGCTGGATACGGCAAATCAAAGTATCTGAATTATCTTCTTTGTGTGTTCAAAATAAAACAATGCTATGATGCAAGACCTTATATGAGCGATAGGTTGCATTTAATTATTAAAACAATTTATTCACTTATCTTATCAGAGATGTGCGCCAAAATTTTCGCGTGGCCTTTTATGCAAGTGGCGAAATTTTTGAAATTATGGAAGGCTGTGCAAAAATATACATACTTTCTTGATACCCAGTTAAAAATTCCTTCATTAGGGGGTTTATAATTTTTGCGAATTGTAACCAAAAGCTGAAAATCACGCCAAACGCCGGAACACCAAAATAGGCCAAAAACCACGCCAAAACTTCTGGCGCACATCCTTGATTACATGCTTAATGGGTAGGGGTTGACTCAGTATCACCGGTTCAGTATACGGCCAAAAGGTGCCGATTCAGTATACATAAATTTTTAGGCTTGGAAAACTTTTTCTTATATGTATGTATCTTTTCTTTTTTCTTACATTCTACAATCTCAGAAACATTATAGGAAACATTATAAACATTATATAAAAAACAGTATAAACATTACATATACGATATCGATATCGAGATTGGCCGATATTGACATGACCGAGATCGATATGCAAGATTTGACCCGATATCGAGATCAATATTCGATATTTACCGTATCTTTTAAAAAATATTTATTATAAAATTTTTAAGCTTTCCTGCGCCGCAGGCGAAAATTTTAAGAATTTTTGAGGTCCTTGAGTCAGATTTTCTTCCAAATTTTGAAAATTTGGAAGATCTTTAAGCCAAAATCTTCCTTTTTCAGCGCCGTAGGAGAAAATCTTGAGAATTTGGAAGACCCTTAAGCCAAAGGGTCTTCTGGAGGACTCTCCTCTAAAAAAAGAGGGTACTCAGCACTGATCCAACCCCATCTCTATGAAAATATCCAAGAGACTCGATTTCTTCCCATTTTAGCGTCGATTCTAAAATTTCTTTGCATTTTAGATGCTCAAGTAGCATATTTCTTCTTTTTCAGCGCCGGAGGCAATAATTTTTAGAATTTTGGAAGGGCAAGAGGCTAGATTTATTCCATTTTTTAGAAAAAAGGCAATTTTTAGGGGTGTATATTTAATATCGATATCGATCGATATTTTGGGCGATATTCTCGTATCGGTTTCGAGATCGATATCTGATGGAACCGATATCGATATTGGAAAAAGACCGATATTCTAGACCGATATATCGATCTCGACTTGTCCAACTCTACTATGCACTTAGTAATTCTTGATAAACTTTTAAATTAAATAATGTAAAAACAACCAAAATCTCGTATTTTTACCAGAACAAAGATGACTTCTGATAAGTCTGATAAGCGCAGTTTTGCCAGTGCTTGTAGCATTGAACGATACAGCATTTTGAAGTAAGACTGTTATTTAAAATATTTTTTGTTATAAATAAAATAATTAAAAGTTAGGCTAAACATAAACAAACTCTATTCAGATTGTATAAGTTAGGTGATTGATTCCAAAACACGTGGCAGTTTTTTCTAGAGTTGGTCACGGTATCGTATTACCGCGGTATTTTTCGGTAATACCGCGGTATTTTTACCGAAATACCGATACCGAAAAATCGCGTTTGCCTAACACTAGTTTTTTCTAAGAATTTGGCTCAAAAGTCGGAACTCGGAAGTCGGGAATGAGCCTAATTTTCGGAAAAATGCCTTATGAAAAAATAGCAACACTAAACATTTATTGCAAATTGGGAAACAAATTTGTAATGGGCAAGCTATAGTCCATAATTTAATTTAATAAGATATCGAGTGAGGCGAATTTGTGGGGATTAAGAGAGATATTGTGGGATTTGTGTGATTGAAAAGTATATCAGTGAATTTGAGGATTAGGAAGGATATTTGGGAATTAAGAGGGATGCCGAGAGATCACTCTTCAAATTTCTTCTGACCCACGAGTATATACATCATTGTAGGATCCATGGTGGGATATAGAAGGATTAGAAGCAGGGATATCAGAAGCCAGGAAGGAGATCAGCTGATATATGCAGATTTCTGGGATTAAGAGTGAAAGGATTATTGAGCTCTAAAAAACAAGATTGTGGAGCTAAAGGGGATTATAGAATCTGTTTATCACAAAAATTCCCCAATATCTCTGAGCCCCACCTAATCTCACTTGATTCCACGTTGGCACGCCCAAATCCCTCAATGGTTTCTTTAATCCCTCCAAATCCGCAAAAGCCACACCTATATTCCATACTTTTTCGTTTTTCAGTGCCGCAGGATAAAATTTTGAGAATTTTGGAAAAAACTTCAGTAGGAAATATGCTTCAAAAATTGTCGGAAATCGGAAGTTTTTCCAAAATTTCGAAATTGGAAGGAAAAAACGTCGGAAATCAGAAGTCGGAAAGGCTGTAGTTTAGTCGAGGTCCCGCTTCAAACCGGATCGAAACATTCGATTCGTCTCGGCGAGCTGGATTGAACGGTACCACATTCTAGGTGCGGAAATGCCTGTGGAAAATTGTAAAACCTTAGGGGGGAGTAAGCTCAATTTTAGGGTGAAAAATTCGAATATGCAAATAATGCTCATTCGAAAGAGCTCGACAAACTGAGTCGAATGAGATCAAAATCAGCATGATTGAACGAGTTTGGACAAAGTTATGATCGTTTGTTTTAGCTCACTATTGTTCCATAAAGATTTTTGTTGCTGCGGAGAAAGCCAGGCATTCCCACCACAAGGAAGATAGGCATAGGATTATGTTGCTGAGCCCAGAACCCAGCGACCGTTGTTTTTCAACTCAGCTCGCCGAGACGAATCGATTGACATATGTTTCGCCCCGGTTTGGAGCGGGTCCTCGACTAAACTATATCCGTCGAAAATCGGAATTCCGATTCACCTCTGGTATTTTTAAAAATCAATTTAATGGCAAAATCATTATTTCTAAAGATAGAAATCTGACCATTCTGAGGCAGGAAAGAATAAAAGAAAAATTAATCCGAGACTAAAAAAGTTTGGGTGGTTTATGAACAAAGTACTTAGACATGTAACAGAAATAAGCTTTAGTTTCATGATGTATAGTTTATTTACATGACAAGGAAATTTAAAAAGAAAATTTTTTGAAAGTTAACATCAGAGCATACCGGAGGTTCCGTTAATCGGAACTTTCGGCAAAACTCCTGTCTGTAATATTAATATTTATAAATTAAATTTACTTTAAAGGGATGCAGTAAATTGTGTGAACAAATATCCTATTCCAAAAATTGTAAAAGGTTGTGATGAAGTTGTTAAAATAAAGGATTTTGTTTCTGAAATTGAAAATAAAGGAAAAGAAGAAGATGATATTATTATAAATTCTGTACAGACAATGGCAAATTATATTAATATGACGGAAGAAGATATGGCTACGCTCATGGGAGGCGCGGCTGGTGGGGTTTTAGGTGCAATGATTCCTAATGTAAATGCGTATACATCGCCACTCTTTGGTTTTATTGGTGCTTTTTTAAGTAGAAGAGCTTATTGGAAATACAAAGAATCTGATCCTGCGACACGACGCAGAAAACTAATTTGTTGGAATTTAATAATTATCTTTGGACCTATACCTGCTTCACCTTGCATAACTTTTATTTTGTCATAACTTTTTTTAAATAAACATCTTAAACATACAGGTTACCGGTTTTATCCAATTCCAGCAAAGTTGCATACCACGCATACGTTTGTTGCGGGAGTAACTACATACTTCTAATGATCTCTAATAAGTTATTCCACTTATGAGATTTCAAGATGCTCGAAATTTCGTTTCGTTTCGCTCTTTCGTGCCATTTTTCATTTCGCTTCGAAATGAAACAGAAAAAAATATATTTCGCTTCGAAACGAAACGAAATATCCAAAATTTTCGCACGAAACAAAATAAATGACGGAAATTTTTGCAAAATTTTTTTCAATTTTCAGGAAATTCTGTGGGATTTTAATTAAATTTTTGAATTTTTGTCATAATTAAATTAATTTTTCACGGATAAGCTCGCAGAATTATTTTGAACGATTGAGCCTTACTTGTATATGCTCAGTTGAAGCCTAATAGAGGAAGTTGAAGCTTAATTTTTGTCTGCGGCGCTGAGATGGGAAGAAATCTGGCTTCTTGAGCTCCAAAGCTAAAATTTTCGCCTGGGGTGCTGTAATAGAATGAAGCTATACTAGGAAGAAGCTTCCTGCTTCTTTTTTTTAGTCCGGTACTGACGGTAGTACCGCGGTAGTACCGAACCGTGCCTAACACTACATAGTTACGACTAATGATTAGTAGGGCTGGGAAAAACATGCAAATTTTCAAAATTTTCGCCTTCGGCGCAGAAAAGGGAAGGCTCTTTTTTAAGAAAAGCGAAGGGTCGTGTTTTTCCCCTAAATACCATTAATCCTATTAATCCCCGGCTCTTGTCCAGTTTATGCGTCCCATGAAAGTATATGCGTCCCATCAACAAAAAATTGAATATTTCTTGGTGTTGCAAAGTAGGGGTATGGTTCCAAACCATTTCTTCATGTTCGGGATCTACGTCCACTGGGTCTGGGACCGTTCCTTACCCTATACCTCGAAATTTCTAAAGTTAAAATCGTTTTTCTGAAATTTTTAAAAATTGGCTATAACTTTCAGAAATTTCGAGGTATAGGGTAAGGAACGGTCCCAGACCCAGTGGACCTAGATCCCGAACATGAAGAAATGCTTTGGAAACATACCCCTACTTTGCAACACCAAGAAATATCCAATTTTTTGTTGATGGGACGCATATACTTTCATGGGACGCATAAACTGGACAAGAGCCTAATCCCCTATATACACTATCCCCACAAATCCATGATATCCTCCTTAATCTGCTAAATCAACTTACATTCAATTAATTCATTCAAGTCCCCTAATACTCTCCTTTGATCCAAACCCAGTCTTTTAAATACCCAGTCTAATAAATAACCAAATAGTATCGAAGTAAAGACCAAGGAGTCATATCTCTACTTTTTTCAGCGCCGCAGGCGAAAATTTTTAGAATATTGGAAGTCCAGTGCAAATTTCTCCCTTTTTAAAGCGCGGCGGGCAAAAATTTTGCGAAGTTTAGAGGCCCAAGAAGCCAGATTTTTTCAATTTTAAAAATAAAATGTGGAAATCAAAAAAGTTCAATTCTTAGGAGTGTAAGTTTTTAAAAGCTCAAAAAGTCAAGACCAAGACTACACCCCAAGACCAAGACCGAAAAAGCCCAAGAAAAGTCTTGTCAAGACCAAGAGTCTTGGACATCTTCTATGGGCAGCCTACTGGGTATGAATCAGATGGAACATATTAATTTGATAAGTATTTGACAAATATTTGAAAAATTTACTAAATTTAACTAGATTTTGAAAAGTTATAAAATTTTTTAAAAGCCTCGGTTATCCTCGTCCTCGGTCTCGGGTCAAAATTAGCCCCTCGACCTCGATCTCGGCTTTTCCATTCCCGGTGATCCTCCGTCTCGGTTTTTTTCAAAAAACCTCGACCTCGTGCTACTCTAATTTTACTAGCATTTATTCATTCTTTATTTTTAAGAATTTAATTTAGAAGGAGAAGCACGAGGCAAAGCTTCGCCGCAAGTGATTTGAAATATTATTGATGAAAAATTTGGCTCTATTACACAATATACGTCCAATCAACTATTATGCGTCCAATCAACCTTTATACGTCCAATGAAAATTTTATGCGTCCGATGAAAATTTATACGTCCAATTAAATTTTTATACGTCCAATCAAAGTTTATGCGTCCAAAAAAATTTTATACGTCCAGTAAAAAATAAATTTTTGCTCAAGAGCTTGCTCAACGGCTAACAGAGATTCATTTAAAAATAATGTAGGAAACGAATTTAATGTGTGTCACTTATTACTGGTCTACCCACCCAACTAGTAAACTCACTACTGTTTAAGCCGAAACTATAACAAGTAAACTCACTACTGTTTAAACCGAACTATAATATCTCCTAATAATGACGTGGATTATTATAAGTTTCTTCGAGACTCAGGGATGTGCATCAAAATTTCAAGTTAACACAATGTTAGGTCGCGTGGTAGAAGTTGATGATTCAAAATTGTTTTACGCTAAGTATAATAGTTGGAACATGTTAATGCGTCATTACGACTGTGTTTTTGGTATGGTCGAGCGAGGAACTAATAAAGTCTGTTTCTTCCATGTTGCTGATAGAACAGCTTAGACTCTTCTCCCAATTATAGCAAATAATGTGACCACAGGTACTACGATTGTTTCCGATGGATAAAAATGCGTTTTGACGTACAAATTTGATTGGACGCATAAACTTTTAACTGGACGCATAAATTTTCATTGGACGTATAAAATTTGATTGGACGTATAAAAGTTGATTGGACGCATAATAGTTGATTGGACGTATATTGTGTAATTTTTTTTTTGAATTGCGGAATTAGAGCCAAAATAGAGCCAAAAATGTATTAGAGCCAAAATAGAGCCAAAAATGTATATATATGTATCTGTAATAGAGCCAAAAATTTTTCTATCCATCATTCTACTACGATAAAATAATGATTTTTCAATGAAAAAATTTAACGAAAATAATATTTTCAAGAAAAGCCTTCCAATGAGTGTGTCCGGAAAATGCGTCAGAGGAAGATGCGCCAGTGGAAAGTTAGAGGAAAATATGTAGGTCAGTACCCGGAAAAGGCGTCAGTGGATCCGCAATTCAAAAAATCGTTGGGAATTTCAGCTTTTCGAAAATTAAGGCAGGATCCTTGATCCAATCCTAACTCGTTTCCGGGCCCGGAAAAATGATTTTACCGGCTACTACTTACCAATTTTGCAGGATTTACCATTTTTGCAGGATAAAAATGATTTTACCGGCCTTACCTACAACTTTTGCGGGACGTAAATAGCAGATCCGGGCTAATTTCGCATTTTAAATATTTCACATTTTTAGCTCGTAAAGTTTCACAATTTGCATTTCGCTTTTTGGTCCAAATGCGAAATTTGTTTTGCCTTTTTTATTTAGTATTTTTTTATTTCCTAGAGTTTTTAACTATAGAAAGAGTTTAGCACAAGTTTATCCACCTGTACCATTTCAACTTTTTGCTATTATCCGTTTTAGAACCATGATTACTAGAAATTAGAAAAAATTTAGAACCATTTTTAAAAATATTTTATAAGTACATATATTAAAATTAATTAAAATTTGGTATCTCTTCTTGAATCAAAATTAAATATAATTCATTCCTCGTTTTAAGAGATGCAAGTCCTTTTAGTAATGCATTGTCTAATTCCTCTCTAATTTTTAGAACCGACTCAATGGTCTTACTGGCTTCAACAATAGCATCATCAGCAGCTTTAAGGTCAGAAGGGGAATTAGTCTTTTTAGCCTTCTCCATCGCAGCAACCATCCTTTCGTTGTCCTTTTTCATTTTTTCTCTATATGCCTTTCTTACTTTCTCTGAGAGAGCCAATAAATTTTTATTTGCTTGATCCATTCTTTTTACTGCAGCCATTGCTTTTTCCTTATCTTTGATATCTTGAGTCTTTCGATATTCGTCATAAAAATTTAAGACAGATTCATTTGCCGTCGTTGCTTCCTCTAAAACAATTTCAATAGATTTTATCGGCTCTCGAGATGCTTCATTTACAGCTTCATCAATTTTCGACCAACAAGGCAAAAATTCTTTTGGCCTAGTCTGTTTTGACAAGCACTCAATCAATTTTCTGCAAATTACAATTCATTTAAGTGGATAAAATGGATCTCGAGGGATCAAGACGGAGCTTGGGAGAGATGAGTTTCAAAAAATTTTTTATCCATTGCCAAGATTTAAATGTCAAGATTTTTTATCCTCTGATATCTCTTTATCCCCCGATATCCCTCTTAATCCACGAATCCCTTGATATACTGATCTCACAAATTCACAATATCACTCTTACTACCTCTAAATCTCTTGATACACCCTCAGTCCTTCAATATCCACCTTAATTCCTTAAGATCCATTATTCCTAGTTAAAATCCACTTATATCCCACTTGATCCTTCGATATCAAATAAATCCATTGATATTACGTTTAATCCGACCAAATTCACCAATATCCATTTAATCAATCTTAATCTCATTACACTGTTAGGTCTATTCTGTTATTCATTGGTTATAGAAAAATTTTTGAAAAATCGAAAAATATCGAGACTTTTTGGGGGGAAATTTTTATCGAGACCCCTGTCTTCTAGGGGGAAATTTTTTCAGTTTTTGGGAATATTTTGGCTTAAAAAATATGTACGTAATGAACGAAACACAGGTGTTTCGTTAACAAAACGAAGCAAAAATAAGTGTTTCGTCACAAAACGAGACGAAACAGGAAAAAACATAACGAAACTAACGAAACGTTTCGCCCACGTCTGCTTCTGATGTTTATGCGAAAGCCTAGGAAGCAGAACAGTATTCCCGATACAAAAATCATCAGAATTTCGGAGTTTCTTAAAGTAAAACGGCAAGTTTCGTGGTGGATAAATAAATCGACAAAATACAATACATATTTCGATTTATTAGAGGATTATCATTACTTACTTATCACATTTACATAATTTTTGTTGACATTCATCGTTTTTATGTCCACAGGAAATTGTAACACCATCTTTTGCACATTCCCATTCATAATTTGACGAAAGCATAGAATCCGAAAAGATATCAAACGACGATTGACATTCGGATTTATAACGACTGCGACATGTATCATGTTTTTCACAACATCTTTAAATAATGTTACGTTTTTATAATTTTCCTAGTACCTATCTTAAAGAACGGACTCGAGGTTCGATCGAGAAAATAGGCCGATATACATTATTCCAATCTTTAGTTTATTTAATCACTCTACTACTAGTGCGTTGAAATAAAAGAACAAATAAAATATGTACATATTTACGTAAATAATAAAATATAAGTAATTTTAGTACATTAGATTAATTATTAAATAAATATGGAAAAAAACTATACTTACTTGTCTATCTCATCACGAGCTTCACCAGAATTTCCAGCACCACAACTTAAATTTTAAAAATATTTATTACAAGTTATCGTTAGCTAAAGAATAAAATGCGGCCTAACTACAGTTTCCGTACCAGGCTCAGAATTGGACGATTTAGGTATATGTCATTCGAAAGAGCTCGACGAGCTGAGTCGAATGACACCAAAATTTTTCAGCGGAAAAAATTCTGAGCCGAGTTACAGGCCCCCGAAAATCGAAAAACCATAGGGGGGACCAAGCTGATTTTTGGGGTCAAAAATTCGATTATACAAATGAACCTCATTCGAAAGAGCTCATCGAGCTGAGTCGAATGACACCAAAATCAATGAAATCAGACGTCATTTGACAAAGTTATGACCGTTTGTTTTAGCCCCTTCCACAAGGGTTTCGCGGAAAAACTGTTTTTGTGCTGCTACGGAGGGTAGGCCGGGCATGGTCTTCGCTACACGATGGCCGTGCTTCGCTGCGGTCGTGCTCGCTGCGCTCGCGGCGACCGTCGTTCCGCTCGACATGCCCGGCTTCCTCCGCAGCGGCAAAAACTTTTTTCCGCGAAAACCTTGTGGAAGGGGTAAAAACAAACGGTCATAACTTTGTCAAATCATGTAAGATTTCGTTGATTTTGGTGTCATTCAACTCAGCTCGTCGAGCTCTTTCGAATGAGGTATAATTCGTCTATTCGAATTTTTCACCCCCAGAAAACAGCTTGGTCCCCCCTATGGTTTTTTGAACTTTAGGGGTCTGTAACTCGGCTCAGAATTTTTTCCGCTGAAAAATTTTGGTGTCATTCGACTCAGCTCGACTAGCTCTTTCGAATGACATATAAATCGTCCAATTCTGAGTCATGTACGGAAACTGTAGTTTAGCCTAAAATGCTGCTGGACTGGCGTGTTCACCAAGGGTGGCGCTAGTCCCACGAAATACGAACACGAAATGACGAGATACGAGATTCTCAAAAAATACGAGAATGAGATAAAAAGGTATAGGAATCTCACAAGAAATACGAGAATAACGCCACCCTGAAGAGTATGCTTTGAAAGATTACTATAGTCAGTAGATTTAGAAATAGTACAGGGTGCGGCAATTTTTCCGCCACTTTTTTTCCGCCAATCTAGGTCAATTTTTATCCAAAAAATTTTGCCCGGACTTTGAGAGAAGTTTAACCGGACTATAATGTAAAATTTAAAGGTGAATTTTGTATCAAGAATTTTCTCAGAGAGTTGATAATAGAATAAAAAAAGAATTATCAATTTATCTTGAGTTTGAAGTGAGATATGCTAAAAACAAAAGTGGCGGAAAAATTGCCGCACCCTGTACTATAGTCAACTACAACATTAGCTAGGGGATATCACTGGATGTGGAGGATATATGGGATAACGGGTATTCGGAGGAGAATAAAGAAAGCCGGGATCTTGGTTTTAAGAGAATATCGAGGAATTTTGTGATTAACAATAAAGCTCCATTATTTTGGAGAACTAACAATGTCTATAGTCAGTAGATAGAATACTATAGTCTAGATTACTGTTGCTAGATTACTATAGTCAGTACTATAGTCAACTACAACATTAGCAACAAATTTGAAAATCAAACACGGTGAACTTCATAAGGAATTAAAGGAACCAGCAGAACAAAAACTTTTATTGAGTATTGAGTGATAATTTGTTTTTAAATGTGTTGCTAATGTTGTAGCTGGAGTTTGTTGTGGAAATTATGTTGTGTAATCACAATTTTTGCATAAAGCCACTCCGGCTTCTTTCTTAAAATAGTCCCAAAGTTTTGACATTTTTTTATAAATTACATATATTGGAAATATCTCGTGCCTGGTGGCAAAATACGAGATACGAGATGAGCGCCATCCCTAGTGTTTATATAGAATATACGAAACTAGAAATATGGCGGTTCTTTGAAATTGACTTTTGCGTCTAGCCCTAATCGGGATTGAATGTGTTGTAAATATTCTTAAGTCCTTTGATGTCGCACCGCCATTTTCAAAAATAAATTTTTTAAATTTATATTTTTGAAATAACATATACAATTTGATTAAATTTTATTAATATTTAAACGTACAAACAACCATATTCGTTATATTCACGTGGGTTTGCTTTGAACTGACATTCGGGCTTTGCTGTTGTTGTAGGCTTTGTTGTTGTAGGTTTTGTTGTTGTAGTTTTTGTTGAAACATGTTTTGTTGTTATAAGTTTTACAGAATTAGTTGTAGGTTGAGTGACAGACAAAACTGGTACTGGTACAGTTTAACATTTATTTTGAAAATTTCACAAGATTCTCGTGGGGGACTGATTTTTCTCTATATCTTTATTTGTTTAGTGTATAATACTCATCAGGGGGTCAGGGCTGCATGGTAATTACAAATTACGGCGTTTTTTGAGTTACGAATTGCGATTACGAAAATATCGGAAAATTACTAGTTGCGTAAATAAATAAAAATTACTAAAAAATATTATTGCAGAAAAAAGCTCTCGTACTTTGTCATTAAATTTTCATAGGAAAAGGGAAGCAAATTTTTTTAATATTCTAAACTTGAAAAAACTTTAAAAATTTTAATTGTCATGAATTTCTCAAAATTCCATATCTAAAGATTAAAAAGTAAACTGTTCCATGGACTTGGATGAAAACGATAGCCTAGCTTCTGTTTAACTAAATTAAACCTAAATTTAAAAATTTTTCCGTTTGGGAGTTGATGATTTTAAAAATTTTCGAGGGATTTCGAGGAACCGAGCGATTTTTTTGTATCATATCGGGGGATTAAGGAGGTTAGGGAATATTGATTGACTCTGAAGATATTGACTTTGAAAGTATTGACTTTGAGTATATTGACTATTAGGATAATTCAGTGAAAGATGAAAAGGTGAAGGGAAACCCCGCTTCTAGCCTAAACAATTATTATTCCGCATACCGTATTTACTCGATTAATTCCCCACCCTCGAATAATTCCCCACCCTCTATTAATTCCCCATGACAGGGATGAGTTGAAAAAATAATTTCCCACCCACAAATACCCTAATACACGTTCAAATTTTAAAAACCGAATAATTCCCCACCCTCTATTAATTCCCCATGCTACGGATGGGTTGAAAAAATAATTCCTCGGGGGAATTAATCGAGTAAATACGGTAGGTTCCGAAGCTCTAAATATCAAATTATAACTCCTTAGATTAGAGATGGAGAAGTAAAAAATTATGTAATACCAGTACCAGTTTTTGGTGGCCGCGTAGTTTGAGAATGACTTTTAGATGTAAGGCTTTTAGCTGTAAGGCTTTTAGCTGTAGTTAACTCCTGAAATAAGAATATTAAAAATTTTAAGTCTGAAGTACGGTACTGTAAAATTTTTTAAGTTCGTGTTATAATTGGCCGCTATTATTGTAGTAAAGTCCTATCGCTAAATAAAACTTACAGAACATTCCCATCTCTCGCTTTCTCACACACATAGGTACTAGAGACAGCGGATCTTACGATAATTTCCATTTTTTGATCTAATTGTTTAAAAATATAATTATTACTAACCACTATAATCTCCTTCTTTATGAGCCCGACAGCAATATTTCTTAACTTATTAGAAAATTCATCCATTTTCCCCAACAACATATCCATTTTTAACGTAAATAAGCCAGGATAGTCGTTTAAACATGGCGCAGGATCTTTCTTAATAAACCACATAATTTCTTTATCAATTGAATTGGAGGAAATTATTTTCTCTGAATAAGTTTATTTTAATTTTACATATTTTTTTACAAAATAATCCTCCTATTAGAATGCCCCCTCTAGCAAAGTTATTTTCATCTTTATATAAATCTTCGTTTTCATTATCAGACTTATCTAATGTAAAATAAGATGTTCGGAATTAGGGATATAAATAACGACCATCAAAAGTTGCTAATTCAATTATTCTTACAATTAACAAGATCTTATAAATAAATAAATAAATAAATAAATAAATAAATAAATAAATAAATAAATAAATAAATACCATTAATTTTCTTATTTTCAATAAAAAATTCCAATAATTCATTTAAATCTTCGATATTTTTTAATTTTAACAATCTAGTTTTACAAAATTAATTAAATATAAGTAAAATGAAATTAATAAATTTGTGATATATTGGTTGCCCTATCCCGAAATTTTGTGTTGTTCGATATTCCGTACTTTATTACAGGCTGTCCGGGCTCTAATATAAAGTTTTAGGATTTGTTCATAGAAATAAGAGTTATATGGATCTGAGTAACAGATACTTATTTTCACAGATACCACTTGGACTAAATTTTATATCCGTCACTATGGAACAAAGAAGGAAATTTTATCAGCTTTTATAATTAAAAATAGTTATCTCAACTGTTTATAAAAATACATATAAGTTCATATTTTAACAAAATTTAATTTAGAGCAATCTCTAATCATGTTCCTAAGTTGCGGGAGAGGGTGCCGGAATTTTCGTCTCTGGAAATTTCGTCTCCAAGACTTTTCGGAACTTTCGTCTCCAACATTTTCGGAATTTTCGTCTCCAGCGGAATATTAGTCTCCAAGGAAATAAACGGAATATTCGTCTTCGCAATTTTCGTCTCCGCTAGGAATTTTCGTCTCCAGAGGAAAATTACCTGTTACCGGAACAACATCCCCGTTGACGGAACAACATACCCCGTTGACGGAACAACATCCCCGTTGACGGAACAACATACCCCGTTGACGGAACAACATCCCCGTTGACGGAACAACATACCCCGTTTACGGAACAACATCCCCCGTTGACGGAAAAACATCCCCGTTGACGGAACAACATCCCCCGTTGACGGAACAACATACCCCGTTGACGGAACAACATCCCCCGTTGACGGAAAAACATCCCCGTTGACGGAACAACATCCCCCGTTGACGGAACAACATACCCCGTTGACGGAACAACATCCCCGTTGACGGAACAACATACCCCGTTTACGGAACAACATCCCCCGTTGACGGAAAAACATCCCCGTTGACGGAACAACATCCCCCGTTACCGGAACAACATCCCCCGTTGACGGAACAGCATCCCCGTTGACGGAACAACATCCCCAGTTGCGAAACAACTTTCAACCGTTGCCGGAACACATCATTTTTCCTCTGGTCCGTCAACTGGTAATTTTACTCTGGAGACGAAAATTCCTAGCGGAGACGAAAATTGCGGAGACGAATATTCCGTTTTCTTCCGTGGAGACGAAATTTCCGCTGGAGACGAAAATTCCGAAAACGTTCGAGACGAAAGTTCCGAAAAGTCTTGGAGACGAAATTACCAGAGACGAAAATTCCGTACACCGCGGGAGAAGCAGGTTACTGATAAAACTCGAACGAAGTGTTACTTGGAATAGCGACATGGCATAACAACTGTAGATATAAACCGAGACAAGATCTCGAACAAAAATCTCAGTTATTGAAAATAAAGATTATCGATCTCGATTTTTGTACAATTCTATCAGTCTCAGATCATAGGCTCTATTCCCAAATGTTAATAAATCTTACTCTTCAGAAATACTAGAATACACATCTACAGCTTTTGTACTTTTATCAAAGAATATAATAACTCCTCTCAAATCACCATCATCTGCGCTACAAATTCCTTTATAAACACATATTTGGCAAAAATGGTCAGCAATACTTCCTTCAGTTTTATTAACTTGAAATCTCTTTGTCAGTTTGTAATTTTCCTTTCCCACATTGGAAAGTTGGCTCTTATAACAAAGAACCATTCTATAAAGTAAAATTTTTTTCAATATTTAATAAACAACTTGGTTGTTTGTGTGTGAGCGGGATCGGACGGGATTATCCCAGTTTTTTTGAATCCCGATCCCGATTTGCTGACCCTGAGACCGAAAGATAGATCTCGATCCCGATTTCGGCCAATTCCGACCCTGTGCCGGGATCGGGACGTTATTCCAAAATCCCAATCTTGATTTTAGGTAGGGATCCCAATCCTGGTCAACTCTAATACAAATTAAGCTCGAGCAGTTTGGTAGTGGATCTGATTTAGGAATTACAATTTAACCATTCTGTTTCAATCTCACTTGCCAATTTTGAGCCAATTTTGTAATCAACGTCTTACCCAACTAACTGGATGTTAAATCCAACGATGGTATATAAAGGTTGTAGTTAGATGCATTTACGATGCTGGTAAACCAATGACCTCATGGTTACCTAACTATAGTTGCTGAAATTCAAACAACTATAGCCATTTGATCAAGTTTTTAAATGCTATATCCAGAAAATTTTTAAACAAAACTTACCCATTAATACTATTTATTTCAAAATTATCAAAACAAAAGGGGGTTTCAGCAGAACATTTAATAAAAGAAACATCCATATTTAATTTTACAGAATACAAACAAATAAAAAAAGTAAAAAATAAGATTAAAATAATTAAAGATTTTTTAGACATTTAATTTAAATAAAATATTTGGTTTAATTAAAATTTGTAAAATGATTGAAAATAAAATTAATTAAAGTAAAATATACAATTATGAATCATTTTTGTGAAAAATTTTTGCTTAATTAATTTCTAAATTAAATAAAAAAAATAGATTAAAATCTCATTACTATGAATCACTAGAGAAAATAAAATACATAGAAGAAATGAGAGTATATGGCTCAGTATAGAAGCATAATTATCCACAGAGTAATGAATCAGCTCCTCAGCTTTCATAATTAAAAACAAACATACCCTAAATTTTAAAATGGTTGCCTTAGTGTAGAGTCCCAGTGTCATCACAAAATAAGGCTGCCGTTTTCGGGTTTGCTGGAAAACTTTCTGCTTTTCCTAATCAATCTAAACAAAATTAGTTAAAATTCAAATCTAAAATACAGAAGATCCGAGGTCACTTTAGTACGTGGGCTCAGCTCCTGTTATACCATTCGAAAGAGCTAGCCAAGCTGAGTCGATTGCCACCAGTTTTAGTCCGAGGAAAAATTTTTGGACCGAGATATAGGTCCCTGAAATCTGAAAAAGCATAGGGGGTCCAAGCACTTTTTTGGGGTGAAAAATTCGAAAATGCAAATAATACCTCATTCGAAAGAGCTCGACGACTACAAGATTAATATAAATAGTTTAGGAAGAATTTAAAGATAAAGTTAAATTTTACTATAAAAAATGAAATTTAAAAATTTTCTAATAGAAATTCTTGTAAAAATAACAATTCATGTTTAGTGTTTTTTTAAATATGCCGGGGAACGGCTCCCCGACTTTTCGTCAACGGACTTTCCGTCAATGGACTTTCCGTCAATACTTTTCGTCAATGGACGGACTTTTCATAAATAAATGATCGCTTTTAAAAAATTTAGGAAATTAATCGGCCTGTTCAAAGCCACAAGTAACTAAATTATGTGCCCAATTTTGATAAGATTCCTTATTTCTTCAAATACTCTCGAATAACCTATGGGGCGGCGGCGAGGCGCTTGTGCAAAACCCCGCGCTTCGCGCGGGGTTTTGCGGCACGCGCCTCGCCAGGAGTCAAAGGTCGCTGGGTTTTACACCAGTAACATAAACCTATTCATTTTTACCGATTTTCAACCTTGAAAAGACTACCTATTCTTCGTAGTGACACAATTGCTCATAACTTTGTTCAGAATTATGCAATAAGTCTAATTTTCAATCTGACAACACTTTTACATATATGTATCATCTTCTATTTCTCTCAAAATTAAAAAAAATTCACTCATTGACGAAAAGTCGTTGACGGAAGGTCCGTTGACGAAAATTCGTGCCACCCGGGGAACACTCCTGTCATAGACTCATTGTTGCGGATTTAATGCCAAAGGCTCAAATCTGTGTCTACATCCTCATTAGGATAATTGTCTTGCATTAAAAAATCTTCATTTTGATTGTTTTCTTGATGTTCTACATTTGTTGGAAATAGTTGTAATTCTCCTCCATGTTGGTATGCTGGATGGGCTAAATGTTCTTTTACACCTTGGGGTGTCTGACCAGCCTTTAAAGTTTACAAGCAAAATTATAATCAAAAGATTTTGTAAAAATTTTCTCTATCAGAATCCCGCTATTAATAACTTTGATTTTAAAAACAAATATTCGAAAAGAGAATGACTAAAAACTGAATCGGAAGCATCCCTTATAGTATGAAACAGGGCTAGAATCTTAAGTTAAAATTCCAACATTTAAAATTTAAAAAAAAATTAAAAGAGGATTTATAAAAACTTTCTTTCTAGGAATCCCTCAATTAATACCTGAATTTTCAAATTTTAAAAAAGCTAAATTACCAAATTTTCTTTAACTTAACTTAATTCTGTGTACTAAATTATAATTTAATTGAAAATTTCTATATAAAAATATCTTCTCACCTCAACTTCACGGTTCGGATTACTGCTGCCAGCACCTCCATCAAGCATACTTAAATTTAATTTATTCATTTCTATCTTTTTTTTGTTGATTAACAAAAAAAACTCCCACTATCAAGACTTATTTACATAAAATTAAAACTAACTCGTAAGGAGTTCCATCCTCTTTTATTCCAATTAGTCCATAACCATTTGCTTTTTTAGCTTTTTTATTTGCTATAATAAAATCCCAAACATTTTGTCCGTGTATTTTTCGAACATGGTTACGCAGTGAAGTTGGATCAGAATATTCTTGTCTTGGACACATAAAAACTGGACATCCATAATGGTTTGGATTTTCGTGTATTTTTTCGTGTTTGACTTTGTCATCGTAATTTGAATAACTCTAGAAAATTTCAAAATTAATTTTCATATAGTAACAACCCCGTTAACAGATACAATGTTCCCAAGAAAGGAATTCAATATTGGAATATGTATCTCATTACTAGGGCGGGGAAAACATGCGTATATGCCTTGATGAGAGAAGCGCAAAAATTGTTTTTTACATTGGTCCGAGCACTTTAAGACCTGGTTCCTAATGCATATACCGGCCCTCTCGTGCATATTTGCATATCTGTGCATATTTTGGCATTTTTTGCTAAATTTTAGTCAAAATTTGAAAATTATTCGGAAATTTTTTATCAAAAAAATTTTAATAAAAATTTGTTGAAAAATTAACAAATACAATAATCCCAAGAAGCTAATTCAATATTGGAGTATCTCATTCCCAATAAAAAACTCTTATTTAAAAAAATATAATTAACTACTTTAGCGCAAGATGGGTGAGCACATTTATAAATAATTCTTTCTGCTGCATGTGTTTGCTTGTGTTTTTCAAGCCTATGCAACTGAGTATAGCTCTTGTCGCAACGAACACCATTTTGAAAAACATCATTTTGATAAACATACTGTAAAGGAATATATTAAGAAATCTAAGTTTTTTGAAGCTAGTACCTCGCAAACATAAGGCTTTTCTTTCGTATGCACAACAATATGCTGTCTCAACATAAATCGACTAGGAAAAGGCTCTTTTCTTTCACAATCTCTCCAGTGACACTTGTTATCCTTTAAATTTCAAAAAGTTAAAATCAGAGAGTTAACGATGGTTCTATTCCCTCTCCACTCTCTCACAATAGTTATATTCCCCTCCCCCTCTATTCCCTCTCTCATCCAATTCATTTTTCAACGTTAGGGGCTGTTGTGTCCGCACTTGCAGAAAGAATATATGTAAATGAATAAAAATAACCCAGCATCGGGTTGGATGGTGGCACAGTCGGTTGTGCTCCGGTCTGGGCTCATTCCATGATGGTTCAATTCCATCTCCCATCCACAATTTTTCCACAGCATAAATACTCGTATACAATAATGGTGCCACGACCCGCCGGGCATAGCCCGAGGAACAAGCGAACCGTCAAATGCTGTGATAATCTGACATACTGTCTCTGTTAGAGAGATAAGGAGAAGACCCTGTGAGTATCGCCTGAGCTATGTGCGGGCAGAAATTAGAAGCGTAAGACTCTGTGTGAGCAGCCTGAGAAAGCGTAAGACTCTGAGTGAGCAGCTAAAAAAAAATGCCACAAATGGGTTGTTATGTCCTGTATTTGGTATTTTAATTTGTTATCAATATTATTTATGTTTTTGCCGTCTCTTTCAAATTGTTCCCCCAAACCATACTTTAAATATAACTTCCTTTTGATCTTATTCAAAACATTGCCCTATAACTTTGACACATTCACTTTCAACTATATATAATTTTCTTATCTAAATTGTAAACTAAACTTATTTCCCGCCTATTCCAAAACTATAAATAGCCATTTGTAATTTCATTTAATTTGCGTTATTTTGAACTAAACTGAATAATAAAGAATGTTGTTTGTTAGAAGATTGTTTGAGAGAATAAATTGAGATATATTAAATCCGGGGACGTAATATTGGTGCCACGACACGGCTAGTTTTAAGAACTAGACGGAGATTTCAAAAATACTTTTAAAAAGAAGAATTGAAGGAAATGTCCGGATCTGATTTTGCACCTGAACTTTTTAGTTCAGAGGAAAAGAGATATTTAAGCACTATCCTTGTTCAATTGCGCTCCTTTGAACGCTCAGTTGCAAAGAGCTTCCGAAAGGTTGAAGGAAGATTAAAAATTATTGAGAAAAATATTAAAAAGAATAAGGATAGTTTAAAAGCAACTAAAGGTTCTGTAACAAAATTACGAAATTTTTTAAAAGATTTTAATAAAGATATTCAGTCAAAATTGGGGAAGTTTGAAAATTTGAGTGGAAATACTGAAGATATAGAGGAAGAAGAATTTGAAAATAGTTCAGTTGATGGATCAAATGAAACGAATGATTTGATAAATATTGAAGAAAATTACCAGGAAATTATGACTATGGACCCGTTCTTAGGGAATGGAGTATTTGTAGGTTCTTTTGATGGCAATCCTACAGTGTCTTTTACAAAATGGGTAGAGAAGTTTAAAGATGTATTATCTTTGATGACCGAGCCAAATGAAGCACAGAAACTTGCGCGTTTGCGATTCTGTTTATCCGGTCAGGCACGAATAGCCTTTGATAGCATAAACCCGCAACCAGTTACATTAGCGGAGGCAATAGCTTACTTAAAAGGAAAATATGAAAATGGAAATAGTAAAGTTATTGAGCGCCAATTACTGTCTAATTGTAGACATGCGCCAGGAGAATCGGTATTTGAATTTGCCAACCGTCTTTCCGATACTGTGCGTACAGCTCTATCAGGAGATGACGAGGAAACTATTAAAAAGAGATTATTAGATGAATTTCTAGATAGATTGATACCTGAGCTTCAATTTGAAGTAAAAGCTCAGAGACCCCAAGATTACGCGAATGCATATGAAATCGCTTTAAATTATGAGTCACTCCTCGCTTCACGAAAGAATGCTTATAGTAATATTTCTGTTGCAAGTTGCTCTGAAAAAGTTGAAGCTTGTACAATCCGGAATGAATACCGAGAAACTAGAACTTGTTATAATTGTGGGGTTCAAGGTCACATCTCTAGATTTTGTAGGGAACCTCGAAGATTGTGTTATAGCTCGAGGTATTATCGTCCTCAATATAATGAGAGATCCAGTTATGGCGAAACTACTCAACAAAATTATAGAGAATATGATCAACATTATGGAAATAGGAATCATCAAAAAGCCAAGGATTCATATAGAAGATATAGGAATAAAAGTTCTGATAGTGATTCAAGCAGTTCTAGAGATAGAGAACGAGAAAACTGGAGAGAACAAAAACGAAATAAATATGATAATCGTTCGCCAAATCGTCCGCGATTTGAGAATTCGAATCCCAGAATTGGAGCTGTTAACCCATACTTGTTGGCTTTGGTTGCTTTGATTTGTCTTATATGAAATCAGCATTACATGTCCGAAACTTCAGAGAAGAAATGCTATTAGAAAAGAGATGTAATTTGAGGTCAAATTTCTTTAAAGGAGGGAGGAGTGTTATGTCCTGTATTTGGTATTTTAATTTGTTATCAATATTATTTATGTTTTTGCCGTCTCTTTCAAATTGTTCCCCCAAACCATGCTTTAAATATAACTTCCTTTTGATTTATTCAAAACATTGCCCTATAACTTTTACACATTCACTTTCAACTATATATACCGTATTTACTCTATTATAGCCCCCCTCTCAATTAGAGCCCCCCTCCTTAATAAAGCCCCCGTTTCGAGGATGGTTGAAAAATAGAGCCCCCCGTCTCTATTAGAGCCCCCCTCTTTAACAGAGCCCCCCTTTTGTCAAATGTCAAATAAATAATTTAAGCAAAAATGTTTTCCCGTTCTCCAGTCCCTCGTTATAGTCAGAGTCGCGCATGTTTCAATTATGTGTGAATAACACAGTTTATAAAAAAATAGTTAATCGTACGCAATGGGGGAATATAGGGACAGCTCTTCCCTATAAAACTCGATGTATTGGCCAGCTGACAACTCTTTTGATGAATGAAAAAGTGATTTCCCTTTGCATATTCATTTAGGACGTACTTGTAGGCACCAGGAACGAGAAAAATTACCTATTTCGTGAAACAAAATCGGGACGGCTGCTCTTTCCCTGATATTCACCAACTACTTTCCAATCGCTGTCCCAAGGATAAGTTAGTCGTGATGTTAAGCTTAGATGGTGGCTAATAACTCTGTGTTATTTCTCGGCCTAGGCTTAACCATTTTAAAATTTAACAAGATTATTAATGCTTGAACTATTTTCTATCTTTTGATATAAAATTAATTATTTAATCCCCCATTAATTCCCAACTAGTTAATCCAATTAATAATAAATAAATTAATATAAATAACTCATATCACTCTTGATCCCTGAAGCCCCTGATCCTCCAGATTCACAAATTCCTGATATACTTTGTACTCCACATTCCTCAACAATGGAATTCCTCAACAATAAAACTAATTGAATATTATCATTTATCCAAAAAGTACAAAAAACCCTAGTTTTAAACTTTTAGAGAAAAGGAAAACTATTGCATGCATTATCATGCAATACCTATCTTGTTTTTGTGCTAAAATTCCAATTGATTTTAAAAATTAGAATGTCTATAAATTGAATGAAAAACCTGTTACTATTTTAAAAATAGGTTGAAAAATACAGCCCCCCGTCTCTATTAGAGCCCCCCTCCTTAATATAGCCCCCGTTTGGAGGAAGGTTGAAAAATAGAGCCCCATGGGGCTCTAATAGAGTAAATACGGTAATTTTCTTATCTCGAATGACACTAAAAACGACGTGATTGGATATGGTTTGACAAAGTTATGACATCAAGTGTAGACCTAACGGAGTCGACGACTTATGTCATAACTTTGTCAAATCAAGTCGTATTTCGCTGATTTTGGTGTCATTCGACTCAGCTCGACGAGCTCTTTCGAATGAGCTATCATTTGTATAAATTTTCGTCTTTATGGTTTTTCGTCTCTATGGTTGTTCAATTTTCAGGGGTCTGTATTTCGGTCAAATCAAGTCGGATTTTTTTGATTTTGGTGTCATTCGACACAGCTCGACGAGTTCTATAACTTAAGTCAGACTGACCATTTTTTAATACTTTGAGGATGGAAAAAAAGGAGGGAGGGGGAACGAAATTGAATATTACCCCATTGAATTTTTTGAACATTTTAATCTAAATTTTGATTTAAAATATTTTTCTTAGAATTTAAAAAATATTTAATTTTGATAACCGTCTGTAGTCACTAATACATACTTCCTTTTAACTTCTACTAGAAAAACTTTTTTTGTTACTGGTGCTGAACCAAGTGACCGTTAACTCCATCGAGTCGCGTTTTTCACAAGCGCCTCTATGACGCCCATAGGATTACTTGATTCATTTATGTACATATAACTTTGTCTAATCAAGTCGGATCGAGTTGATTTTGCTGGTAACTCTGTTTATGAGCCTTGGTTTTCACCCCTTAATCGTCTTAGACATCAAGCTGAGTAGAAAGACCATGTTTTCTAACCGCCCAAGTGTTAAAAACCCGCTATAAGTTAATGTTCAATTTTTAAAAATTCTATGTAGTCCCCATTTGTCGGGTCCCCATAAGTCTGATTCTAGCTTAATAAGCATTTAAAATTTAAAAAATAAAAAATAAATTAATAACATATGTATATTATGGCAACTACTATTTATAAAGAGCTATTTGAGAGGGCTATGCAATTTAAATGGGACTCTGCCCGGCTTTACCATTTTAAAAAATGGGAATGTAAGGGCATTTGAATGTTGTGACTTATAGGGGGTTTTTTTTGGCTGGACCGATTTGGACAAATGAGGTGTCATTCGAAAGAGCTCGCCGAGCTGAGTCGAACTAGGGGCGAGTGGAGTCGATCCGACAATCAGGGACCGAGATACAGACCCCTGAAGTTTGAAAAAGAGAAGGGGGGAGTAAGCTCATTTTGGGGTGAAAAATTCGAAAATGCAAATAATAGCTCATTCGACTCAGCTCGTCGAGCTGAGTCGAATGACACCAAAATCAG